GTTATGTACAGTTCCTACACTTCATCAGTACCTAGTAAAATTTTACAGCCGCTCCTTTGAGGGATTGTCGGGAGATAATGACCCCAATAAAAGGAACGTGCCGCCAGTGTACAGAAGACTAAAAATATCCAGGGTTGCATTGAATTTGTGATTTATGGTTTCGTGGGTCCCATCTTCATGGTTAACTTTGAAATACCAATAAAATTTTATTAGGTACTGATGTAGTGTAAGAACTGTACAGGGGTTTCGGAAGTGCCAAAAAAAAATAATAAAAAAATTCTTTATGATGTAGATTACGAAAAAAACGTAATTTTATAAAAGTAGAATTGACAACACTGCACGAACCTACTGCGTGAATCCCTCAGGCTTACTTTCTGATTTTTTAATAACGATGATGACTGGATCCACCTTTATTTTTTTAGGACAATAACCATAACAACCAGTCGTCATCGTGCATTATTATTAATAAAACAAGCTGTTATTTTTCATTAAAAAATAAACTAAAAGAACATGTAATAAGACATTTATAAATTATAAATAAAAACACCTCTAAGAAAAGAGAGGGTGGGTGGGCGGGGGTAGTAGCTGCTAAAATAAGACTGATTTTGGCAAACGAGACACCCTCTAAGAAAAGAGAGGGCAGGTAGGTGAAACTAGTGCTGCTAAGATACAACTGATTTTGGCAAATGACATACCCTCTAAGAGAAGGAAGGGTGGGTGGGCGGTACTAGTAGCTGCTTAAATAAGAATGATTTTGACTAATAATATACGCTCCACGTAAAGAGAGAGTGGATGGACGGGGCTAGTACCGCCTAAAATAAGGCTGATTTTGGCAAATAGCATACCCTCTAAGAAAGAGAGAGAGGGTGGGTGGGTGGGGCTAGTACCTGCTAAGATAGGACAGATTTTGGCAAATAACATATCCTCTAAGAAAAGAGAGGGCGGGTGGGCGGGGCTAGTAGCTACTAAGATAGAACTGATTGTGGCAAATAACATACCCTCTAAGAAAAGAGAAGGGTGGGTGGGCGGGGCTAGTACCTGGTAAGATAAGAGTGATTTTTCTTCAAGTTCATCCAGCAACAAAACACCAGATTCCTATAAATTTATCTGAAAATAAAATCCCAGTGGACCTAAAATTAACTGCGAACATTTTAAACGTAAGGTTTTGAAAACTTTGACAATTTTTGATATGTCAAACATTTTTAACTGCTTGCTCGATTTTTGCTGATTTGTACTTTCGCTTTATACCAGGCAGAGATTGTTGTCAAACTGAATTTTTTCAAATTATTACCAAAACAGCACAACTATATCTTCGTACATTCTAACTGAAATGGTAACTAAACATGGTTATGGACGAGAGAAATATTAACTGAAAGTTTTGTTGCGAGTTATTGTGATAATGAATGTGTTGTTTAGTTATTAAACGTATCAAAAGAACCAATTTTAAAATCCTTATAACTCCACTAAAATGTGAGAAGGGCTCACAAGTTTATTGTTAAGAGCGTGGCGGATAGTTAATCCGCCTTTTTCCAGACACCCTGTATAGACAAAATTTGACAGCAATCAGTCCAGTAGTTTTGGAGATTATCTGTTTAATAAAAATCGACACAGACAGACAGATAGATAGACACATTACAGACAAATGGAAACAGAAGGCCACTTTTTCCGTAATCTGTGGGTCATGAAACGTCGAGAAAACAAGAAAGTGGCAAGTCGCTCGATGAACTAAGTTACTGGACTTCCTTAGTTTACGCTCGGGAAGTAAAAAAAAATAGTTAGAATAAACCTTAACACATCTGACCTGTCGAGAAAGCTTACGTAGAAATAAATTTGAAAACAGCATAAAATACAGCTTTCTTAGTTGAATATTATGATAAAAAGTCGATAAAATGCAAGTATAATCACTCTGTATACATAAACTAAACCCCTTTCACATTTTTAGAAACAGCGAAGTTGAGAATAAAAAAATATTTGAACGGAACTTCGCTCGCCCCTAAACTACATTCGAAAAACTAAAATTTAACTTTGATAATTTTGTTTATTTAATTTTTATAATGACTCACTCTTATGAGCTAAAATTAACCTGGATTGTTAAAGTACTGGTAAAAAAAGCATCGTATGTACATGATTCTAATAAATTTTTACATCTAATTTTTTTTTGATGACGTCATCAACATTCAAAGAGATCGACATCAGTTTGAATAGGTACAGTATAATACTATTAATAACAGTACCGTATTCTCAAATTTCCTTAGAACATGGGACGGCAAATAAAAAATGCCGACACATTCATAACTTTCTGCGTCACTTTGTATGGGCAAATCAAAAAAATGTAAATGCATTGATAAACTGCAAGTATAGATTCTTAATATTGTTCATATTTTAGATTTAATAGGTAAAATTTTGATTTGAGAGCATAAAGAGCTAAGCAAATTTTAATTAACGATTTACTATACTTATAATAACCCTAAAACATTTGCAAAATTTCAGAGGATTTGATTAGGCAGTTTCAAAGATAATCTGCAAAACGAAATTACAAAATATTATGTTTTTTCAAAAATGCGCATGTCTAGTGTACTAAGTAATACGTAAAGATTAAAATTAAATTGCAAGAGGATGTTACACAATTTTGACTTTTGGCGAGATGGCTTCGTAAATCCCACATGCAGGAGTGTGTTATTTTATAAAATTTGTTCAGCAAAATTGTAAAATGACGTCATCACTTTTTAGGAGGGTAGTAAACGGAAACATTTTAGTCAACAATTTACCTAGTTTCATATAACCTTAAAACGTTTGCAAACTTTCAAAGAATTCGGATTTCAAATTTCAAAGTTAAATTGTAAAATGTTATTATATGATTTTATTTTTTTTTAACTCTAGGATAAAAATTCTAGTCGAATTCATAAACTACCAGTGGAGGAGTATGTTATTTTACAAAATAGAACATATGTGAGATTTATGAAGCCATCTTGAGTTATCTTACATATGGTGAGTCAATAAAATTAATCAATTGAAGCGACATCCCATTCCCTGAAATTTGAGAATACAGTACTTTTAATAACATTATTACACTACACATATTAAAATTGCAATTGATATACTTGCTAAAATGTTGATGCCGTCGTCAAAAAATTTTTATATGAGAAAATTCACTAGAAATACATGCATACGATGCTTCTTTACCTGTACTTTAACAATCCACACATATATTAATTTTAGTTCATCATTTTCAAAAAATAGTTAATGTGAAACTCTATTAAATTAAGGAAAGAAAACAAAGTGACATTTTTCTGCCTGAAGGCGGTATTGTGTACCGACATACGTATAGCAGTTTCTATCGATATATTATTTTAAACTCGCAGAGTGTTTACTTTTCTTAATTTAGTGAAGACGAAGTTTAAACCAATAAAATTGAAATTGAAAATTTGTTAGAATCTACACCCAATATTATTAACATATGTAAAGGTCATGTAATGTGTTCATAAATGTTAATATGATGATATTGATGTGTTCAGTATAGCATTAATTAATTGTTTGCGTATCATTAACATTTCTGGTAGGTTGTGGCACGACTTTATATATACTGTAATTAGAATAAACTCCAAATATTATCTATTCACGAAACATAAATTACAAGCAATGTCAAACAATCAAAAATCGGAGCAAACCTAGAGAGTTACTTAGGGTTAGAGAAATATGTTTTTGGCACGGAATGTACTAGTAAATCGGTCAATACTGATTTGCGAATTAAGTTCAGACAAAGTTTAATTTAAAAACTGAAAATCTTGTATCGATATATAGACATCCTGACTTGCATGAAACATTAACATACCTATGCAATTACAGGAAAATATACTAAAGGTAGTTTTGTACGCTACTGCAAAGAGCATTAACAACTCTACGAAAATCCCAAAAATAACCGCAGCTTTAAACGTATAAATGTCAATTTACAAAAAAATATCAAATCAAAGAAGCTCGATTAAGGAACTTACTATACTTATAAATATGGATGAAGAATCTTAATACAGTATTTCATTTTGCCCCCCTATTTCACTTTGCCGGCTCTACATTTTCAAATAATCGCACTGAAAAAGGAAGCAGTTTCCAAGCAACACCCTACTGAATTGAAAGCGGATGAATAAAAGTTGTATAACGCCACAAAATATCTTTTTTCTTAACCGGTGTTACGATTGCTGTTAGCTATGCATTGTTGAAAAGATACGAATTACTTTTTTCTTATTCCGCTATGTGATAATCCACCTGTGGCATGTTGTAGAGTTAGTATAAAATTAATTTGACAGTGATTGCAAAATATGACATATTTTTAATATATGTATAGACAACCGCAAAATTACAGTTTGTCCAAGATTTGTTATTACATATTTTGCATGATCAGACATCGATTTCTTAATGTTGTGTACTTCAAATTTAAAATAATATCAGAAATCATAAAAAAAATGTACTACTTTTCGTTACTTCTCTGAGTCGACAGTGAGTGCAGTGCATACGGGGTAATGCATTTTAAGTTTTGTTTAACATTCGCCTGTGTAAATCTAAGTAAAGCAAAAGCAACAAAATTGATTCGAAATGGGAATTCCTCCTGATCTTAAAGTAATTTTGTTTGGTTTAAACTTTTATAAAGGATTGGATGTTGAGGAAATAAAACGAATCTTTACTCTCAAAGGGTGAGCCTTAGAAATTCCTTTTTGGGCTCGAACAGCCATTTCAATCTGTATAATTGCTGACCTGAAATCCACGTACATCAAAATAATAACTTTAAAATTTAATTCTGTGTATGTTATTTATGCATTCCTCTTTCTCAGTAATTAGCCTAACTTTTCAACTTTTTAGACTCGAAAACAAGCCCGCCGTCGTATTTTTAGTAATAAATTCCAACTTTTCCCCATAAATTTACATTTCAATTAAGTGCATTGTGGAGAACATTTACAAGATATTTCAAGCAGAATAATAGCAGCGTTGAACACGAATTCCAGTCTTACCTTAATTCCGTAGTTAGACTCTTCGTAAATGATAGATATGTAGCTCCACCCCATCAGAATGACAATATCTACCATCGCTTTGACTTGGTAATGGTCCGATGGTATCGTCCTCGTAAAGAATTCGAACCTTTGCTTGTTACTTAATTCCGGACTTGTAGAAAAGAATGACACCTGAAAGCAAAATCGTTACAGTTAGAAAACTTTGTCTTCCGAAACTGTGGTGTTAATAAAAAGCAATTAAAACTAATCAGATTAAGGGCTTTCATAGTCGCTTTCCTAATTTATTCAGAATAAAAGGTTTGCCACATTCACGATATTTTAATTAAGAAGGGCGAACTAGGGCTCCAACTTCGAAACTTTCCTGAGATGCCATAAATTAACGTTGTTTTGTTACATATTTATACATCGCTCGATCAACACTAATTGACGAAAGAAAAAACTTTAGAATGGAGCATGATTGATGAGCTCAAGATCCGGACAGTTTTGATTGTTTGTACAATTTTCCGAGCCTCAAGTTGGTAATTGCGGCGGTCTAACGAGATTATTTTAATAGAGCGGATGTATTAAACATGCGGATAAACAAGAAATGTTTCAAATAATAAAACCAAGACAGTTTGCATTTATTTTGAGGTAACACACGGTATAAAAAATTACAGACACCTATTTTAACTAGTTTGATTTTCCTATGTAGTCTAAATTTTAGTCCTCTGTTTAGGATGACAAATTCAATCAAATCAAACAAATTTCTACGTGACATTATTCCGATGTAATAAACAAACACTTGAAGTTAGAGCTTGTCATTATTGCTGAGAGGTCATTTTTTTCGTTTGCTTTAAACATATTTTACATTGTTGGTAAGTGTAAAATTTCCACAAACCCTTGCAATTTGTGCCCCTACGGCGCTGGGATTGCGGGGGTGTTATTTATGCCTCTGGTTTTTACTTTATAGAGGCTACCACAAAACACACATCCAAAATCTAACTTTATAATTTTTCAAAAAAGTGGGATTTATTGAACACGAGTGTATAAACTTCAAATAATGCACGTGGTACATACAAAATTTTATTCTACCTTGTAATTTTTGATATTGTCAAAAAAGTCATGTTCGCACATTCTTTTATTGATTCCTTTTCCTCTAGAAGCACTCTTTTTTTTCTTTGGATTTAAACAGTAAATCAACTATAAAAATATGCTTCAGCAGTGTTATTTGTTTCCGACGAATGATTTTTACAGGTAGGTAAATTTTGCTTGTGGCCAAAGACGGTGATTTCAGCCTTGGGGTATTATTTGGTCAATAAGGTACTTCAAAAAGCCAGACCATTGTAGACTAGTAATAAACCGGTAAGGCAAAAAATATTGAGGTTATGTAATGTTTGACTGAAGATAATTTTTTTCGTACTTTAGAGGCCGTGACTCATGGCACGTCCAGAAATATGGAAGTGGCAGTTCGGCCGATGGACCCGATTATTATTACTTCCTTAGCTTACGCTCGCGAAGTAAAAGTGAAGGTGTAGCTAAACGAAGAAAAATGTTGCCGGGCGGGTGCCCTTACCACTAGACTACTAGAGCTTATCTTTCCCCGCCACAGAAGAATTTAATTTTGCGGACCGATAAATTCTTAATTTGCTCCTTTAGTGCATTTTTGGACAGATACATGTTTATATAATCATATTCTTATTTTAATCGGAAGACGACGCTCTACAAGATTTTCGTAATTTAATTATCTATAAGACGTATCTCTATCTCATTTTCTATCTCTCCTTCAATTTGTGTTGCTAAATGATAAACAAACACTTGCCTGGAGTATTACCAACGTCATGGGAAAAGTATGTTTTTGTGTCTTCTTATCACTGAGACATACTCATATCTAACCAAAATTGCTTGTCGTTTCTGAATGTACTGGTTTTTAAGCGTTCAGATGTAGGTTTTAGGTATAGTCAGGTTGGCCGAGCGGTCTAAGGCGCCTGTTTTAAGCTCTGGTTCTCGAAAGAAAGCGTGGGTTCGAACCCCACACCTGGCAGTTTTTTCTTTGCGTACTTTATCTAATCTTGCCAATAAAAAAAATTATTCATAATCCTATCGTCTTATAACCAATCATTGTGTAATTAGAATATATAGAAATATACATACGCTCAACTTTTATAACAAGCCTTTTGTAATTTACGTTCATATTTTAGACATATTTATTTATTCGCCCCCATCTTTAAATATGGCAGAGTATAGATTTTTTAAATAAATATAATCATTTTTACTACATCCGACGATAAACTACTTTCATATTTTATCGACGTTTCATTACCCCGAAAGGATGAAAAAATAATTCTCGCGTTTCCGTCTATATGTCGTCTATATCGATTTTTATTAGATAGTTTATGTCCGGAATCATTGGATCAACTGTTGTCAAATTTAATATGTATGTTAGGAAGATCGTGTAGATGGAAAATTTTTTTGTCAAATAATAATCAACAATTTAATGACGATGCATCCCAAATGATATTTAAATTTTATAAAATATCATACTCCTAGACTTGTGGTTTATGAATCCAACTTTCGTTTTCGCCCTAGGACTCCAGATTTTGCAAGAAAACAAAATTGTATGTTAACGATATTCGATCGCCTCACGGAATATTTTTGTAAAAACTGAATTTGTTTTATTGTAATTTAGGGACGAGAGAGTTTTATCAAATAACATCAGACCATTTTTTTCAATTGCTGCATCATTTGTGTAGTTCAATCATCAAAGGTGCTTCATTTTGTTTCTCAAATGGGATGATTTTGATGGGCATTTTACAAATTTCTGTCTGTTAGTAATGAAACTATTTATCTTAGAAAACTGAGAATAATCTCCTCTATTACTCGATTAAATCCATATGCTAAACAAGTTCCATGAACTAAATTAGGATAAATTAGTTTTAGCTGTTGCATAATTTGAACGGTGTAGGTTGAGGCATTTGTTGGAACTACTCTAGGTACAGAGAATTTCATAACAGATTGGTTAACAACTTTCAAATAGTTTATCATCAGATTATCACTTAAAGAATTTCTTAAAAAATTGGTTGAAAGTTGTTTCGGCAGAACTTTTCTCGCTTCTGAAGTACAATGAAACTTATCCATAATAATAACGTATTATATCCCCCCCCCCCAAAAAAAAATTGGGAAAAATGGTGTGCGCCGTTATTTTATTATATCAATAAAATAAATTTATTTATTCATGTAAATGTAAAAAATGTTGATGCAATGATAAATCACAAGTACAGACTCATCATATTTGCACAATTTAGATAGCATTTTTTCGGCAAAATTATGACATGGCGTGTTAAATTTTTTGGGGGGATAAAGAGATATATTTTGGTAAAAATTTACCATGCCTGCAATAACTTCAAAACGTCTGCAAGATTTCGAGGGATTCGGTTTTGCAGTTCTTGATTTAATCAATAAAATAAAGTAAGTTATTAATTTTTTAAACATGAATGCAAGTGCAAGTAGCTACCTGGCTGCAAGTCATAAATTAGTGGAACAACCGGAAGTGGCCAATTTTGGATTTTGCACAATCTCCAGATTATATGTGTCAACAAACGGTCAGTCGAAGACGAAATCCTATTTTTGTAATAACCAAATTAAAAACAAATAAATTTTATTTTCCGTTACATTTAGGTCAGAAGCTATCTGAGCAATATGCATAGTATTAAAAATCTTAATATTTATACATCGGAAGAATGTCACGTGGACATTTGTTTGATTTGAATGAGTTTATCGCCTCAAAACACATGACTAAAGTTATGCGTTCAGAAATTAAAAACAAATACACGTGTTTTTTTTTCTCAAAAAATGCCACCATAAATGGAATTGTTATTTTTTTTTTTACTTTTAAGATAAGCAGTAGAATTTTATTAAATACCGGCATTACGCGTTTTAAAAGTAAACAAGCAGTTACTTCTTATTTGATTTTCAGTTTCCTTCGCCTGCGGCTAGCTACCCCTTCTTTTATCTCTTCAGTGTATTTGAAACTCTTTCATAAATGAAACAATGCTCGTTGGAATTTTGCAGCCTAGGTTATGCTTGAAAACAGTTCAAACTATTGCAACAATAAGAATTCTTCGTTCTTTTCCATCAAACTTGTTTCGTGTAGGTAACATAACCTATTAATTACCACAGTTCCCTCAAAATATGTCTACATTGTCTGGAGGTCGATTCTCAAATACACATAACAACGTTCAAATACCGTTCCGTCACAATTGCACTTGAACAGACAATGCAACTCGAAATGCAATTCCTGAAAACCAGACTAGACGAAGCTGAACATTATTACAAACATGGTATAACTCAAATCGGTATCCACTGCAACGGTGTAAAACGATACACGTCACAAACGGGTTGACTTTCAAATGAAAAATGAAATGAAATTGATTTAAAAAAATGCAGAGGGGCGGTTAAAATTTAACCTTAAGCTGTAATCTTCCTCGAGTAAAATCATTAATTATCGTTATGCACTGCGTGAATAGTTGAATACGTGACAGATTATTGCATAATTTGAATAAATGATGTTCCGTGGAGTAATGAATAAAAGTTAGTGCATTTGCGCAGCACCTTCCGGTATCATTAGAGCATTGTTGGTTTAATAATGCAAATATATGATGCACTGTGCGCTACAATGAACAGAACTCGAAATTTCCTGAATGTGTAGGGTAAGCAGTTCTACTTCGCGGTAACACGGAAATCTTTAAGTGGAGTAATTTAACAGGCGTGAATGAATCTCGTGTTCGTGGTATTGTTATCCCAGCTGCAAGTCTGGATTTTACGTGTATGTTTCTACATGTATTTTGTTGGTAATTGCAAAGTTAGCAACTGTGCTTCTGATGATAAATTAAACACGGGTTTTAGGACTTGGCGCGGCTCAAAAGAAGTGTGAGAGATAACTAAAATCGAAAGTAAATGTGCACATGTGCATATTTTCACGTTTTCGTTAGGAACTCGTTATGTATCAACGCACCATCTGACGAAAGGAACCCCATATTTAACGAACGAAAGTAAAGACATAAATGTGTATCTGAGAATTTTTTTTTTATTTGAGCCTTACTTGTTTTTGCCTATTTGTCTATTTTTGATCATGAGTGGATTTTTTGGATTTTTTTGACCTATTTTAGTTTTTGCGTAATTTACTTTTTTGCTCT